TCTCCCAGCCCCCCAGCCCTCTGTGCTCCCCTCCTCCTCCCCACCCTCGCCCGCTGCACCCCCTTCCTCCGGCGGCTGCTGGTCCTGTCACGGTGCCCCCAGCGCTGGTGTTGGGTCTGCCTCGCCGGGTTGGACCCATGTCCTGTGTTCCTGTCTCAGACCCACGTCTTCTCAGGAGCCGGTGGGAAGTCTCTCCAAGTCCCGGGAATTGACAGCTCGGGCCCTTTGGGCGGGAATCACCGAACCACCGGCCACTGCCCAGTGGACCCGGTTTATTTACCCATCGCGGTTGCTCCACGTGGTGTAGCTTAGGGGCAAAGCTGCCATAAGTCTGTGTGCGGGTTCTGTGTGGACAAAGGTTTTCATCTCCTTTGGGCAACTGTCAACACAGATTGTCCCCCAAACACCCACCTGCCTCCTCTGGGTGCCCCGGCCCCAGGGGCTGTCGGGTCTGGGGAGGGGGCTCCGCCTCAGCCACAGGTTCAAGGGCTACAGACACCACGGAGGCAGCGGGGCACAGGGGCGCACACAGCCCTCTGGTGGAGGCTTCCAGGAGGTTTAGGAATCCCCCACCCCCGCGCCCCAGGGAAGCAGACCTGCCCCCCCAGTTCTGGGCAGCCAGGAGCCAGGGGGCCCTGAAGGACCTGGGAGAGGGAGGAAGCTGATAGACTGAAGCCAGAGCAGAGATGTGGGCACCACAGGGCCCCAGAGGCGGGCACTGAGCTGCCCAAACAGATGCCCTGAGTGCTGCCTCCCGGACCTCCAGCTCCCTCCCCGGCGCCCACCGCTCCCTGCGGGGCTGTTCCGTTCACCGACTCCTGCGCTCCCTTCTTTCCATCCATCGCTCTTGCGAACGTGAGGTGCAGTAGCCGTGCATTTCCAGAGTCTCTTCTGGGATCTGCGGGTGCGGGTGCGTGGGGGCAGCATCTGCACAGAATGGAATCATATGGAGTCGTCGTGGCCATGGGCCGTCTTTATCCCAGTCATTCCCTTCGCCCCCAGCGGACACGGCGTTCTCCCCAGGGCACTGTGTCCTGCCGGTGGAGCCTGTCCCCCCCCGCCCCCCCCCGCATGTCGCACATTGTGGAGAAGGTGGTGAAAAATCTCTGAGTTCTGTGCTTTCTGCTGGAAGGGCCCGTCTTCGCTCCGAAGTGCCCTCCCCGGTGATTCCTGCCCAGCCCCTAACCTCCCCACGCCCCTCCTCTATGTCCTCTCGTGGCAGGTCACCCCCACCTGTCCTGGCCACGCCCCTCGGAGGCCTCCTCCCCCCAATGCCCTTCCCTCTGCTTCACCTCGCCAGCCCCTCCCGCGGCCACATCAGCACGGCCACTCATGGTGCCCACAGCTCTGATCCACACCTCGACCCTCGACCCTCAGGTTTGCAAGGTGCTTCTGTGCTCTCCGGGGGTCAGGGGGAGGGCGTGATCTGGAGGAGGGATGGGGAGGGGAGGTCCCCGCCTCCGTCTGCATGTGGCGCCCTCCCCTTTCCCTTATGGGGACCCCAGGGCTTCATCTCCGGGTCCATAACGTAAGCCCATCTGCAAAGACCCTTTTTTCTTTCTTTTTAAAAAATATTTTTATTGATTTCGGAGAGGAATGGAGAGAGAGATAGAAACATCCATGATGAGAGAGAACCATGGATCGGCTGCCTCCTGTATGCCCCACACTGGGGATGGAGCCTGCAACCCAGGATCGAACCTGTGACTTCCTGGTTCACAGGTCGACGCTCAACCACTGAGCCCCGCTAGCCGGCAACCCTCCTTTCAATAAGGTCACAATCCCAGTCCTGGGGTGAGGATTTGGGTCTCTTTTGGGGCCAGCATTCAGCCCAGCACACATCCCACCCCTCACTATTCCAGGGCCCCCCGGGGCCAGGGATGGTCTCCGCCTGGGAGCCCAGCAGCCCGGCAGGAAACGTGCGGTGCGGGTGACAGATGTCCCTGCTGGCCCTTGGCCGGCCCCTCGGTGAGGCCACGCGGTCGGTCTTTTGGGAAGCAGTCCTTTGTCACACGGCCGCCGGCCACACCCCCAGTCTCCGAGGAGTGGGGGGAATCTGGTGGCATCCCCACAAATACTGGGTGGGGAGCTCAGCTGCACCTCTCCCAGGACCCCAGCCTCGGCCCTTTCCCGCCAGGGCCGGACCCAGAGGCCTGTTCTCTGGGCTTCCGAGCCCCAGATGCCTGGCCAATGGCTGGAGGGCCGTGGCCTCTGACACTGTCCCTGGTCCTGACGCCTGGGAGAGGCTGTGCTGTGGGCCGTGCGCGCCCATGGTCCCGGACCCTGAGCACAGCATCAGACGTGGGCCACGGCCCCAGAGGCGCCCCAGGCTTCGGGCAACTTGCCAGAGCGGCACCTGTCAGGGCAAGATCCCGGTGCCCTGGCCAGGATCAGGGCACCTGGGCAGGTCAGGCTGGGAAGAGGGAGGTCAGGCCGGAGGAGCCGTGCGCCTGCAGGGGCCAGGCCCACACAGGGAGTTACGGGGCTCCGCGCCCCTGAAAGACAGCCCTTTCTTTTGCTAATCGTGACGGATTGTCATTCCTGTTTGCACAGCCCTGATAGGGCGAGGCTGGCCCACGTGTGAGGGAGGGAGGCAGAGTAGCTTGGAAACCGGGATAGGAATCTCTGTTTCCTTGGCAACCAAGCCCAGCGTGGGAGAGCCCAGGTCTCCACTCTCTGGGGCCCAGAGCGGCCTTCCCCAGGGGCCCGCCCCACCTCCGGAGACATTTCATCTCTTTGGACACCAGGCTTCTTCCCCCCCCCCACCTGTCACACCCACGGCCAGGCCCCTGTCATGCCCCGCCGCCCGTATGCTCTTTTGCCAAATAACAGATAACCCCAAAAGGTAGGGGCTTAAAACGGCACCATTTATGGCCCGCAGTGTCTTGGACAAAGTAGAGAGAACTTGGGAATGGCTTCAAGGTCAGTGATCAGCGATCAGGAACTGGTTCGTGCAGCGATGCAGGCGGGCGCCTCCCACACCTGCAGGTGGGCGGGCGGCCAGCGGCCAGGGGAGTCAGGAAGAGCCAACGTTTCAGCTCAGGTTCAAAGGCCGCCTGCCGGCAGCATTTCCTCTTGCCCAGGGGCCGTCAGTCTCCGGCTCCTTCAGCCCCTCACCTGATTGGCTGCGGCCCACCAGCACCACAGAAGGCCATCTGCTCCCCTCCATGCTAATCTCAGCTGCTTCCTCCCGATGTCACCGGCTTTGGGCTGTGGTCTTGCTGTTGAAATGCTGCTGCCAGTCCTTTAACGTTGACCAGGGTCCCTCCCTTTGGGCTGTTTAAAGGCCTTTCGCCTTCGGTGGTTTGCAATTTCGCGATGTCGCACCCGGTGTGGATTGTTTGTTTATTTGTTTATTCTGCTTAGAATCTGTTATGCTTCTCTGGAAATACTGATCCATCACCAGTTCTGGAGTATTCTCTTCAAATACTGACTCTCTGTCCTTTGGGACTGATATTACTAGCTCTTGGCACACTATTTCTTGTGTATTAACGTTTCTTTTCTTTCTTTTTTTAAAAATATTTTTTTTATTGATTTCAGACAGGAAGGGAGAGCGAGATAGAAACATCAATGATGAGAAAGATTCATTGACCGGCTGTCTCCTGCACGCCCCCTACTGGGGATCAAGCCCGCAACCCCAGCATGTGCCCTTGACTGGAATGGAACCCGGGACCCTTCAGTCCGCAGGCCGACCTCTATCCCCTGAGCCAAACCAGCCAGGGCCAATGTTTCTTTTCTATTCTCCACCTCCTGATCCCTTGTGCTATATTCTTGGTCATGTCTTTCGATTTTTATTCCAGTTCACAAATTCTCTCTCTTTTTTTTAAAAAAATATATTTTATTGGTTTTCCACAGAGAGAAGAAGGGAGAGGGATAGAGAGTCAGAAACATCGATGAGAGAGAAACATCGATCAGCTGCCTCCTGCACGCCCCCTACTGGGGATGTGCCCGCAACCAACGTACACGCCCTTGACCGGAATCGAACCTGGGACCCCTCAGCCCGCAGGCCGACGCTCCATCCACTGAGCCAAACCGGTTCCGCAACAAATTCCCTCTTCACCTGCGTCTAATTTGCTGCCTATCTCATTTGCTGAGTTTATTTTAACAGCCGTTTATTGACCTATCATCCACATCCTATAAAATTCACCCTTTTAAAGTATACAACTCCAGCCGAAACCGAGATGTGCAGGAGGCAGCTGATCGATGCTTCTCGCTCATTGATGTTTCTAGCTCTCTACCTCTCTCCCTTCTTCTCTGTAAAAAATCAATAAAATATATTTAAAAAAAAATAAAGTATACAAACTCCGTCGTTGTCAGTACAGTCACAGACATGTGCGGCCATCATCACGCCGTATTTTTAGGACATTTTCATCCCCGGGAAAGAACCCCCTTGATCATTCGCAGGCACGACCCCGGCTTTCTCTCTCCCAGGCAGCACCGCTCTCCTCCGTGTCCCTGCTGGGTCTTTCTACCCTGGACGTTTCCTGTATGGGGGGGGACCCGTCCGATACCTCAACCCTCTTGTGTCCGTGTCGCACAACTCTTCCACGGTTGCTGCTGACCTTTGCATTTCAGTGCGATGTTTTTTCACGGCGAGAGGTTCCGTTTTTCCCCGGGGAGCAGGGTCAGCTTGATAGTTCCTCCCGATCATGGATGGCAAGCCCGTCCAGCAGGCCGGTTTTCTACCCCAGGTCGGATGCCTTCCCCTCAGAACGTCGGTGGGATTTCCATGTCACTCGCCACTGTTTCGGCTGCATCTCATCCGGAGGCTTGTTTTCTTTGGATGTTTGTGGGTTTTGACCTTGAGCTCCCGTTTGAGTCCTGTCCAGTCTGCAGGAGCCCCCCCAGCCCCTGATCGGGTTGCTGTCCACGCCCGCCTTTGCCTTCATTCCTCCGGAGCAGGACAGCGGGAGGCCAACGCCCGGGCGTCACTGGTCACTCTGTCCCCACGTGACCTTGGGCCGGAGCCCGACCTCTCGCTGCGGGGTCTGCTCCTCTGTAAGATGGGTGTGATGACAAGCCGGTGAGCAGGGGTGCTGTGAGGCTGCGATGAGATGTGTATCAAGGGTTCATTTTTAAAGAACATATTTGTATTGATTTCAGAGAGGAAGGGAGAGGGAGAGAGAGAGAAACATCAACGATGAGAGAGAATCATTGATGGGATTGAGCCCACAACCGGGGCATGTGCCCTGATGGGGAATCAAACCGTTACCTCCTGGTTCATAGGATGCTCAACCACTGAGCCACACCGGCCAGCCTGCCGGCCACTCTGGAGCACACAGTAGATGCTCCATGAACGCATCTCAGGAGACACATGGGCGACAATCGTCTGTCTAACGTACCATCGTGTTGTCGGGGCCCCAGGACGCGCTAGGCCGGCAGCGGGGAGAACTGAGGACAAATGGGGGCAGGACGCAAGGGGCCACCCCACGTTTGCTCCGGCTGCGGTTAAGGCCCAGGGTCCAGGTGCGGAGGCGGCGGGCGAGAGGCTAAGCTGAGCC